CGTCTTTTCTTTTTTAACGGAAAGGGAGTGGATTAACAACAATTTTGCCACCAGGAGACAGGTATTAGAATCCAAGCCAAGGAAGTCTTTTAAAGAAGAAATGATCATGGAACTCAAATGCTACTGAACAGTGAAATAAAATTTGTAAATTAGTATAATAATAATAAAAAGGAATGGACGTGACCATGAATATAGCAAACTGTAGGTTCATTAGAGTTGTTAAGTGGAGTGTCAGGAATAAAAGACAAAATGGTAGAATTGGAGACAAGTTAGTATAGACTGCTTTTTAGAAAAGCTTTTTTTTTTTAAAAGAAGATATATGAGCACAATCTCTGAAAAGAGAAAAAGGTCAAAGGTACTATTTTTATTTTAATGTTGTAAGAAGTATCTGCTTGCTTATTCTCAAAGGAATCATATAATAAAAGGGAGGAAACTGATAATGTACGAAAGAAAAGGAATGTTTCTGGGTGGTATTTTTGAGTGAGCAAAAAGGGATAGGATCTAGTGGACACATCCAGGAATTGACCTTAGAGCATAAACAGTTTATACTAAGAGAAAGTAGAGAACATACAGAGAAAGTTCATAATTGGTCAGGCTGTTTGAGAGGTCCCCAGAGCTCAGCTGGGTAACCTCTTATAAAGACTTAGAGCCTAGGGAAAACGATGGAGTATAGTTGCACATGGACTCCACTCTACACCTGGCTTAGTTTTGGGTAAATTTAATGGTTGGAGCTTGGGAGGGTCTTTACTTCTTTTATTTTCTCATTAAAAGAGAAAGCTGAGTGAATTTTTCAGAAGGAAATACTGGAAGTTTGAAGTTAAGAGTAGAATAGTTAATTTTAAAAAACCCTCCCTATTGATTGGACTTGTACTTTGAAGATTCTATTTTGGTGCCAAATTTGCTGGATAAAATTTAACTTGGCTATTAAACCTCTTTGGAATCCCTACTGGTGCAAAAAAGTCTGTGTTTGGCTCCTGTGAGATCGGAGGTTCTACTTCACCCAGAGCTTCCTCCAAGAGTAAAAGTTGGTGATCTATTTCCCCCAAATCGGCCATTGAATACACATAGGGTAGGCATTTTTCCTTCTTTTTTAAAATAAGTATTGAATATGTGAATATGAAAAATAATTACAGCAATTGAATACATTAAAAACGTATTATGTGCCAAGCATTGAGATATGTTGTTAGATTGTTTTATTTAATCAGTGCATTAAGAAGCCCTCGGGCAGAGTGTGTAACTTGGCCTAACCTAAAGATTGGTCCAATCCATCATTGGTTTTGTAGGAGAAAAATGAGCAGCATCTTCTGGTATTTATTTAGAAAATTTGGCGAGTTGCTGCGTTCACAGGTAGTGGTAGTGGAAAAGGCTTTCTTACCCTATTTTACTGATAAGAAAATGAAGGCCTCTCTAAAAATTGCCCCCCTCAGCTTCATACTAGGACGATTTCCCCCTAAGACTTATATATATATAACTATATATAATTTATATATTTAAATGTATATTTATAATTATATATATAATTTATGAGTAAAACGTTCTGCTCTTCTAGGAGCAGGTTAAGTGTCTTTTTGAAACTTTTTTGGTAACAAGAAATAAAGTGCTTTGTTTCGTCCCTCCCTTCTTAGACTGAAAAAATTTTGAAATGAATTTTGTGCATTTATGAGAACAAAAGCCGTTTTGACTTGTTTATCCAAGTGTTATCTAGAAGTTGAAACAGAGAGAACTTTCGTGAACGAGGTGCAGTTGACCCGGCTTGGAGAGGAAAGATTTGAAAACTTTAGTTCAATTTTCCCAAATGCAGGCAAACAGCTGGGAATATCCCCGAGGGGCTGTGGAGTGAGGTTTTCGCCGGTGAGGGGTGGGTTCGGCGAGGTAGGGGTCCTGAGACTTTGCTTGGGAGCCGGCGGCTCCGGAGGGCGCGGGCGGAAGGCGGTTGGACCAGGAGGCGGCAGGGGAGCGGTGCACCCTGGGGGGTGGGGTGGGGTCGCGGTGGGGGTAGGAGTGTGCGCCCATCCCGGGGGCGGGGTCTGCGTGCGACCCGACCCGCTGCGGGCGCGTACGCCGTCGCCACGCTCGGCTCTTCGGAACCTTCGGGACCCCTGCACACGCTGGGCTTGAGCTTCCCGCAGTTTCCGCGCGACGTCGCTCAGCCGTCTCCCGGCGCGGACCGACGCCGCCTCTCGTGGGATCCGGGACCTCGTTCGACGCCAGCGCCCCCTCCACGCCTTGGTGGAGGGCGTCACTATGGTTCACTTTTTTGCACCCGGGGCTCTCGGCCCGAAACATCGTCCCTCCAGACGCTCAGGAGGACGCCCTGGGCTACTGCGTGGTGCAGGTGAGACGGGACGGCTGAGGAGAGAGCATGAGGGGCCGTCGGGCGCGGACGGGCGAGGCGTGTCGTCGGGGCAGCGGAGAGGGGCTTGCGAGGGCCGGCGGGAGAATGAGTCTGGGGAGACTGAAGAGCCTGTCGGACTTGGTCTCGCTGGGGAAGTGCGCGGGGTCGATGTGGGGGTAGGGGGTCCGGAGGGAAGTTGTATGCGGAACGCCCAGCCCCGGGGCCGAGCGCCGGGCGGACGCACCTGAAAGGCCAGGGCGGAAGGAGGCCCGCCCCTGCCCTCGGACTTCGGGCGAGGCTCTCTCGAGACCGGGCGGTGGCGAAGGCTGCTGCTCTTTAACCGCATGTTTTAAGTGTAGACTAACTGGTACTAGGCTTAGCCGGTAGTGGACGCCGGCGATCTGTACTGTCATAGTGAAGCCAAACGTTCCGTCCAGACCTTATCAGTTTGCCCAGGTGTTGATGAACGTGACGCTCCCCAGGGCCTGTGACCTTTCTTGCGCCCCTACTAGTCAAGGTCTGCAGAGACCTGTTGAAACTGGAACCCAGAAATTTAAATACTTCCACGCGCCCTTTATTCTCGAAGATTGCTACAAAACGAAACCCTAAATAAAGTGCAAACACACCATGATTGCGTATTTAGCTCCCACTCTGTGTGTTGTAGTGTGCATAATGTCGAACCTTGAACGGAAAGATCTGCAGTTCGGATCCATCAGCTGCTCCGTGGTGAAACGATGAGCAGGTGGTTCTCGTAAAGCTTTTTAGAAAGCTTGTGGAGGTGGCTATGGGTTGGAACGGGTTTCATGGCTGTTTTGAGTTTTACTGGGTTAAGTAAAGGAGTCTTGGTGGCGCCATAGTTACAGCGCTAGACCGGAACGGAAAGGTCCGCGGTTGGACTCCCAGCCGCTCTGTGTGGGTTAAGCGTTGGAAGTCCAGTGGAGGGTCACCTGGAGTTCAGGTTGCACTTCCATGACAGGTTTGTTCTTTTGGCAGTCCATTGTGTATTCAGTGGTCTCCTCCAGCACCACCGTTCAAGGGCCTAGTTCTTTATTTGTATTCTTTATTCATTGTCTAACTTTCAGATACGTAGAAAGCAATTGAAAATATCCTGGCTTCCATCAGGAGCACCTTTGTCTTTAACATCTTTGCTCTTTAACATTTGGAAAGGTCCTTGACAGCAGATTACCCTAATGCAGCGTGTTTTTTTCTTGACTGCAATTACACTGGGTGTTAATTGTGGATCTAGATAAAATAAAACTGTTGATAACTTCATTCTTTTTTCCATCAACAAGATGATGTCTGATGCTTCATTGATGAGAATTTTTCTTTTCTTGTAAATTGTACCTCATATTGAATGTTTTTTATTTTCTGCAGTAAATGCTTGAAGTTGTATTCACTTTCTGCAAACAGTATTTTGTCATCTGCATAACAGTTTGTTGATGAGTCTTCCTCAAATCCTGATGCATTCTTTTTCATATAGTTAGGCTTTTTGAATTATTTACCCAATATATAGATACGGAGAAAAGATACAATCCTGATAGATGTACATTTTTCCTGATTTTAAACTATGCAGTATTCCTTTGTTCTTTTTGGACAACTGCTTCTTGGTGTGAGTTTCACATGAGCATGTTAAAGTGTTCTGAGATTCTCATTCTTTTCAGTATCAGTTATAATTTGTTATGATCCACAAATATAAAAACACAAATAGCCAGCTTTCTGGACTGCTTTCAGCTAAGCTCCATCTGACATCCTCAGTGATATCCCTGGTGCCACAACTTCTGAATCCAGTTTGAATTTCTAAGCAATTCAGTTACTGTACTATTCCATCCTTTTTTATTTTATTTTTAAAATTTTTTTTTTCTCTCATTATTGTGTACCGTCAAATCTGATTGCCCTCCTTCTCCAGTGGAGCATCTGGTGGATTCAAACCTAGTGCTTTTGAGATCCATGAATTTTTTAATAATTCCAAGATTTTACTTGCATAGAATATTAATGGTATTGCCCATTAATTTCCAGAATCTACTGGGTCACCTTTTTTGAGAATGGAAACAAATGGACTTCTTTTCATCAGGCCAGGTAGCTTTCTTCCATATTTGTTGGCAGAAACTGGTGAGCTGTCCAGGGTTTCATCTCAATTGATATTTGTCAATTCCTGAGGCTTTATTTTTTTTCACCAATGCCTTTAGTGTGGCTTGGATTTCTTCCTTCCGTGCTGTTGGTTCTTGATCATATGCCACTTCCTGAAATGGTTCAGTATTGAGCAATTGGTTTTGGTACAGTGACTCTGTATTCCTTTTATCTTTTTAAGATAAAAAGTGAAGATAAATTTATTAGAACATTAAGTCCCAAAGGGGCAGACTTTCCTCCTAGAAAGGCTGTATGGAGGAGAGTCCCTTCCTATTTTCTTTTTATGCTTCTTGGAGCATTTTAGATTTTGCGCATAAAATCTTAGTGTTGCAAGTCAAGCCTTGAATTTGTTTTTCATTTTTTTCAAGAAATGCAAAGTGTACTCTTCTCTTTTGGTTTTCTAACTACAGCTTGTTGTGCATTTCATTATACCACTTTGCTTAGTCTTCTGGAGCTATGCTTTGAAATCATCCAGTCACACACTCTAACTTTAGCAGTCTGTCCCCTTATTTTGACTTCTTACTTTTTCATTGCAAGTTTCAGAGTCTTCTCTGTCATTTATTTTGATTTTGTTATTGCCCTTCTTTGAAATGACTTTGCTTTTTTCCCCATATCTAATGTTTTTGATGTCATTCTACAACTCATCTGGTCTTTGGTCATTAGTGTTCTGTGTATCAGGTCAGATGGTTTTGAAATTTGTAGGATTACACTCATGATCATATTTGGATTTTGTGAACTTTTAAAAATTTTCCTCAACTTCAGTTGGAATGTACATATGTGTAATTGATGATCTATTCCCCAATCAACCCCTGGCCTACTTTTGCTGATATTGAGTTTCTTTAACATCTTTTTCCATAAATGTAGTCAGTCTGACTTCTGTATAATAATACATCAGATGAAGTTCATGTGTACATATTTTTCATCTACTAGCTGTTGGAAATACCATGGTTGACATATTTCAGCAGAGCTTCCAATTTAAGACAGACTAAGAAAACAGGACTGACCATCCACTTCTGAATAATAGACATTCAACAACCTATAGACAATGGAAGAACATTGTTGGATATAGTGGCAGAAGAGCCCTTCTGGTTGGAAGGCACTCAAGATGTGATTAGGAGAGATCTGCTATCTCCAAGTGGAGTCTGCTGTAGTGATATGGGTAGTATAAAGCTTTCATTCAGCTAAGTCCAGCTTCTTGAATAATTTAAGTATACACATTTTTCATTCAGTTAAGTCCAGTTTCTTGAATAAGTATACACATTGAGTAGGTATGGAGAGAGGATACAACCGTGACATACAGTTTTCCTGATTTTAAGCCTTGCCGTATTCCCTTGATCTGTTCAGATAACAGTTTCTTGGTCTAGGTGTAGATTTTGTATAAGCATAATCAGGTGTTCTGGAATCCCCATTCTTTTTGTTTAAATTTACTATTAATTTCAATGAAAATTTACAGAGACTTTGAATTTCCATTCATTCATTGTTGCACTTTTCTCCCCTCCCA